CCCCCGCCTCCCCTGCCGTACCCCCACAGGAACCCTCATTCTAGTCACTGCCTCTATAAATCCATCCATCCCGGGCTTCGTATACTGAAAACAGACAACTACATCACAGAGAGCCAAGAGAACTGCCAACGATGACGGACGACAACAGAGAAGCCCTCATGGAAGAACGAAGAGGAAGAAACGCAAAACGTAACAGATATTAAAAACCAAACCAAGCACAAAGGGCATCACGAGGGAGATCAGATGCCAAGGTGTTAACCATTGAGGTCTAATCTCTCATTTCAATCTGCTATGGTCACCTCTTCAGTACCAGGCGACTCCCTTCCCTCGATGCTATGAGCCAACAGGCCCAAACAAGCCAACAAAATCTAAGTGCAGCGATCTCGGGTCGTTTCCTCTTCATAAAGGAGCAACCTGTTTGCACACGGCCCCCCTTCTGCTCTGTGGTTCGAGAGGCTCTGTGGGGGAGCCCCAGCCAGAATGAGCTCCTCCCAGGAACATGGAGCCTGGGGCCAGGCTGAGAGCGTCCTGACTTCCCAGCCTGGAAGGACAGAGTGGAGGGCTGGGAACTGCCCACTGACCTGCTCAGGTCTCCCGGGTCCTCCGTGCCCCAAGGGTGACCGTCATAGCCCATCCCTCCCACTGGCCTCCAGCCACTTCCCATGCAACACCCCCTCACCTAGTGCATCCCCACCGCAGCTTGAGGCCCACTCACCATCCCATCTGGTTGTTTTTGAACCGGGCACTTTGACCACACTCGGGGTGCCTGGCCTGTGGGATTGTATGGAGCCTTTGCAAATGCTACACCGGAAGGAGCCCCGTGCTCACACTCAGAGGAGAACATGGGGGCACACAGAGGTTCCTGAATGAGCAAAGGTCACAGAGTGAAAAAGGTGAGCCTCAAACCCAGGAAGCCAAATCAGAAACCAAACTTGTGAGTGCCAGGAGTGGTGAAATCACACCAGACCCACGGTTTATGGGCAATTCTGTGTCTCCCACATGTTGCATGAGAGGAGACAGAGAATTGCAGGAGTGGGAGCCTGACAACCACGGGAACCTGTTTTGCCCTGAGGGAAGCTGCCCTGAGAGGAGGCGAGGAACATTATGGCTGAGACCGGTATTAGTGGCAGACATTTAAATGGCCTCCAGTCTAGAGAGGTAGAGCTCTGGTGGAGGGAGTGGTTACATAGCGGGCTGCCATCTGCAAGGTCCACAGTTTGAAACCTGGCCTCAGGAGAAAGATGTACCTTTTTACTCCCATAAATAGTTAGTCTTGGAAACTCAGAGGGTCTGCCATCCAGTCCTATAGGTTCCCTATGTGGTGGCATTGTCTTGATGGTGCTGAGTTTTGGTTTGAGTTTGGCCCAGCGGTGCACCCTACTATGGGGATACACACTGTCCTATCCTCATGAGACCTGGAGAAACTGTCCCAAGATGCTTAACCTCCTGAGGAACCACAACCTCTCCAGTCTCCTCCCCCCAAGGGCATTCTCCTCCCCAATTCTCACCTAAGGTCAAGGACAAGATGGAAGTTCAGGGACCTTCAGGAAGGAGCAGCCAGCTGCTGCCCTCGGGTCCTTTGCTTGGTGAATCTGATGGAATGAATCCACAAGGCCACCATCAGACTCCCCTTGGCAAATTCACACACCTTACCTCCGCCATTCCCGTTTGAAAGCTCTGCCGCACCGCTGACTGTTGGAACAGGATGTTTTTCCTCTTTATTTTTTTTTATTGTCTCTGTTTTACAGTTTGAAGAGAAATTTATAGAAACCGCTGAAGACCTGGACAAACTGAGAAATGGTAAGGGCACTTTCCAACAGTCCGTGGGGGAAGTTTTTGTACCTGACAGTGCCTACATGGTTGCGTGGTGGGAGCTGGGGTGGGACAGAGGGAGAGAATTGCCTGAAATATAAGGTGTGGCTCTGCTGGGGCAGGTCTGGCAGCTAAGAATGGTTACAATTCTAGGAGTTTTTGCTCCAGGAACCGCTTCTGTGCCCACCTTCTCCCCACAACCTGTCCCCCACTCCCACACCCTCCCCGGCCCTGAGAAGGTCCTCACTTTGCTCTGTCAAGCTTCTGTGTACCATGAAGGAGCCACAAATCCTTTAGGATCCCACACTGTCCTGCACCCAAAGATACACAGACACGTGCATCCGAGTGAAAGGAGGCAGCTGAGGGGTGGCAATGACCTTGCTTTCTCATCCTTATGGCCTGGGACAAGGTGATAAAAACCAACACAACACACTCACTGCCCCTGAGCCCAGGCTGACTCAGAGTGACCCTCCAGCACAGGAGAGAGCTGCCACGGTGCGATGCTGAGGCTATAACTCTGGGTTTTTGATCCTACAGCTCTTTAGGGGAGAACAAAGGCCCATCTTTCTCCCTCAGAGCTGCTGTGGTTTCAATCTGCTGACCTTGGGGTTAGCAGTCTGACAGGTCACCAGTCTATCACCAGGGCTCCCGGACTGAGTAAGAGCCTAGCGATATTGCAGCCTCAGCTAAAGGAGATCAGGTTGAACAAGTTGAGAGGCCAGAGGAGGGGGAAGCTGAGTAAGGAACAGCATCCAGGGGCCAGGGAAACAGCCTGCCCAGCACACGCACCCGGGCCCATGGTGTGATGGAAGGAGCTCAAATCGTCACATAAGTGAAATAACAGGAAAAAACCAGTGGGAGGGCAGGAGTGGATGACGATAAGCAAAAGGAAGACTGTGGTGAAGCTCAACACCAGAAGCTTAAGCTTATTTTCATCTTATGTCGTATCAACAAACATTTGTTTTCATCCTTAAAGAGTGAGATCCACAAATTATTGCGACCTCACCTGTTCTTTTCTTTCATTCAAAAGATGGAAGCCTGATGTTCCAGCAGGTGCCCATGGTGGAAATCGATGGGCTGAAGCTGGTGCAGACCAGAGCCATCCTTAACTACATTGCCTCCAAATACAACCTCTATGGGAAGGACATCAAGGAGAGAGCCCTGTACGCCTCCTTCCCTCTTCCCCCATCAGCACATAACACGGGGAGCGGGTAGACGCCACCTGGACTGCACAGAGCATGCTGGGGCTGCAGGAGAGGCCCTGGGGGCAGGCGCCCAAGGCTGAGAGGGCCCCTGCAGGGCATCCTGGCTGAGCAGCAGGCTGGGCCTTAGGCATGCTGATGGAGGTCCAGCACAGCAGAGGCCTGTGGAGAGAGGGGGTGGAGAAGTAAGGGTGGACTTAGGGCATGGTCAGGGCAGAGCCCAGTGACAGAGGTTTTCAGATACTGAGGACATAGAAGGCAGAGAGAGACCAAGATCATTTTGTAACATCTCAGGGTTCCAGGATGTGCATACCAGCTGCCGCCGGAGACAAGAACAAAGTATCTGAGTGTCTAGAGAAGAAGGCTGAGGACAGGAGGGATCAAAGGGGCTGGTTCTCAAGTCCCATCCTGATCCAGTGATGAGGAGAGATCTAGCCAGTCCAAGGGGCCAGTGGACTTGGTATAGTGAGCAGAGGCCACAGCCCTAGGGCTCCTTTGATAACAGAGGTTCCCTGAACTATCCAGACTCAGGCTCATTCACCAGTCACAGAGATGTGAGGGTCAGAAAGCTGTTACCTGGGCTGGACGGACACACACAGGGGGGTGACTGTGAACTGGTACTGCCTTCCTCTGGGGAAGATGCAGATGCTCTGAATTTAATGGTAGTCCTGAACCACGTGACACTCTACACTTTCATGCATGAAATTTATGCTGTGTGGGTTATGCTTTGAGAAGCAGGTATTTTTAAAACTGATAATGTTGGACAATATGAGTGTCATTCATTGAACAGAGTTTTATGAGTAAAAAGCATCAAAATGGCAAATGTTTTGGACACACACGCACATGCACACACACACACACACACACACACACGCACACACACACACACACACGCACACACACACACACACAATGATCCCTGAGCTATTGGAGGAAGTTCAGTTTGGAAGGAAAGACAAAGTAAAGCTCCCTGGCATATGCATTGGATAGAATGATTTCAATGATGGCTTATTGAATCCATTTCAATCATGGATTTCAATAATTGTTTCACATGGTTGCAATCCTCCTAACTAGGAGGATCATTTGATGGGGATTGAGGAAGGCATGGTCAGAGGAGGGCCACAGTATGTGAGATGGACCTGAGTGTGTACGGACATGAGAGGGGGGGGCATGCCTGTCATGGTGGTGGTCTTGTGACCTCTCTCTTGAGAAGACGTTGGTGACAGGCCTTTGTCCATATACCTCACAGTAGTGTTGGTAGGACAATTATGACAAGCCTTAGAGACAACGTCTTTTGGTGCTTGCAGTGAGTCTATCAATTCTGCATTGGCTTTGACCTGCAACAGGTCACCTGGGTTCTCGATCCCTATATTTGCTCATGCGTTGAACAAACATGTTAGACGTATGCATACAATATGTCTACCGTCAAAATAGAACGTGAAAGCCATAGCACCATGACTGGCCCCCAGTAAGCACGCGGTGCAGGAGAAGCTCCTTCTGAACGACAGAGTCCCGGGCGGAGACCTCTGACAGCGGCACATTTTTGTCTTGCAGCATCGACATGTACTCAGAAGGGGTGGCGGATTTGGGTGAGATGATCCTTTTCTTGCCATTAACTCCACCTGGGGAAAAAGAGGCCAAGATCGCCCAGATCAAAGAGAAAACTCTCAACCGTTATTTCCCTGCCTTCGAGAAGGTGAGTGCAATCCGTGTGGTGCTTTGGGCAACCCAGACTTCATCGGGCAGCCAAAGACCAGAGCTGGGTATGTCTGGCACATTATCCTTCAGTCCAACAAGCCACACTTAATATCTAGACTCTCCTTCATAATAAAATAAAAAACAAACCAAAAACACCCTAATGCATATTAATCTTTAACAATTTAATAAAAATTGACTGTGAAGACAGTTTTGTCAGTTATAAAGCCAAGGTGTAATTGTTCCAAATGTTTCCATTTCCTAGGAGCCCGTCTGCAATTCTCTAATGGACAGGATTTCATAGCCGTCTGTCAGGCTGGCCTTTGGAGCAAGGCCAGGGTTCAGACCAGAGTGTACAGAACAGGATTTCGATCAGAGGGGTTGCTGTCATTAGATGCCACCGAGTTGGTCCCAACTCATAGCAACTGTCTGCTCCACAAAACAAAGCAGGGCCCTGCCCTGTACCAGCCACACCATTGGTGTTAGGTTTGCGCCCATTGTTTCAGCCACTGTGCCAGTCCATCTCATCGAGGGGCTTCTCTTTCTCTCTCTCTCTCTCTCTCTCTCTCTCTCTCTCTCTCCCTCCCTCTCTCACTCACTACGCTCTAAAGCATGATGTCCTTCTCCAAGGACTGGTCTCTCCTGACAAGAAGTCCAATGTACTTGAGATCAAGTCTAGCCATCCTGGCCTCTGCTTCTTCCAAGCCATCCAGGGTCTTCTCCATAAGATTTATTCAGGAAGGTTTCTTTACAAGGATGGGGATTGGGCAGCTAACATCAACATGTCCTCCTACACATCATTCATTCGTTGATTCAACTAATGCTCCTTCATTCCTTGTAGCTTAGGCCCGATTCCAAGAGTAAGAGATTCCAGAGTGTCTTAGGCTGGACTCTCTGGAGAAGCAAGACCAGTGACTCATAGACATGAGTGTATGTCTAGAGAGATGTTGCAGAAGGCGCGCTGGGGGTGTGGTTGTTATGCTTTGTGCTGAGCTGTGAGGTCAGCAATTCAAAGTCACCAGCCAGCTCCATGGGTGAAAGAGGAGGCTTTCTACTCCTGTGAAGAGTGACAGTCTTGGAAAACCCCCAGGGCCATTCTACCCTGTCTTATGGGGTCGCTCCGAGTCAGAACTGATTTGGTGGTGGTGCGTTCGGTTCTAGATACAAGAAATGGTGCGTCCACTAGTAAAAGCAGGCAAGTTTCAAGTCTGTGAGTCGGACGAATCCAGTGGAAGCAGGTGCTGAAGAACCCAAGACTGGCAGGTCAGATAGCAGGCGTCTGGCTGCAGAGGTACATGCCTCCGAGCTGGCAGGCTGCTGGTAGCTTCTAAGACTGCCAAGCACTATAGCAGGCCACTGGCTCGTGTTCTCAGAATAGAAGTTTGATGAACCAGATGCAGGATCCAGACCCAAGAAAAGGCAACAAGTTTTACCACAGTGTCCATTTCTATTGGACATGAGGAGATCGCATCATTGGAGATACCTAGGTTATCATTGCCAAACCACTGAGAATGCTGGCTCAGCTAAGTGACCACCAATCCTTAACTGTCACAAATGATAATAAGAAAAAAGACCTTCATGACTCTTGTGATGCTGAAAGTTCAGGATACAGTCACAGAAGACAAGCTATACAGCATCTGGCAGATTAAGTATATCTGCGACTACAAATACAAATAGCTCCCTCCATGAACATTTGTATTCTGGCTGAGCTTTTGACATTTTAGTTTTGTATGAAATAACTCTGAAACTTCTCCAAGGAGATCCAGTCAGAAAGAAGAGTTGCCAATGTGGCTACCAGTGGTTCATCTTTTAGGTATTGACGTTATGCGTGTTTTTGCTCTTATCCTTTGTATATTATTGGACTATTTTTCTATTTTAGTCCATATTACATGTTTTCCTCAACATTTTATTTGGAATATTTTTAAGATGGAATATGTGAAGATGAATTCAAGGGGACACAAGTTTATTTCAGAACACAGAGAGAGAGAGAGAGAGAGAGAGAGAGAATGGAGAGACTTACCTGAAGCGTGGAGACTCCATGCATTTAAGGGGGTGGAAATGCATAAACCCCATGTGAAGCAGGGCTGGCCTTGGCCCCTGTGGGAGATGCCTGGGATGGGGTGAGAGTGTGCAATGCCACAGTGATGTGGGAAGGGAGAAGAACACCCCAGCCGGCCTTCAGCTGAGGAGTGAGGACAGCAGCTGAAACCCACCCCGTCCCTGAGTCTGAAACCCCCAGAAGGACCAGCAACATGGGAGCGGGGCTGCAGGGTCAGGAGAAACCATCCTGGCCGTGGCAGTCATGGGGGGATGTCCTCTCTCGTTGCAGGTGTTAAAGAGCCACGGACAGGACTACCTTGTTGGCAACAAGCTGAGCAGGGCTGACATTCACCTGGTTGAACTTCTCTACTCCGTGGAAGAGCTGGACTCCAGCCTGATCGCCAACTTCCCTCTGCTGAAGGTGACTGATTTCTGGCCATGGAGGCGATGGGCCATGGACTGGTGATGTTCTGAGCCCCAGCCCAGCCCAGGCCTTGACTCCCCCTCATGTCAGCAAGATTAGCTTCTAGGTCCAGGTTCTGACGCATGAAAAGGCCTTGCTCAGACAAGGACATCTGAAGTGCAGGGTACCCCTCAAACAGGATTTAATCATGAGAAAGAGCCAAGACTCAGCATCTATCTGCCCGGCCCTCTCTCCCATGGCTGCCTCTGGTCGCATCACTCTCTGGGACTTCTTCTCGTTCTGTGTCTGAGTCTGTCTGAGCAGCCTCTTTCCCTCTGATTCCCTACTGGGGCTCTGGCTCCATCGGTCAGATGTTAGGTCCCACCCTGCACAGCTCTCCCTTCTCCGGTCCTTATCTCTCACTGACCAAATGAATTCCAACTGTCCCCAAGGTTTATAGTTTTTTCACTTTCTCTGTCTTTATCATAACTCAATTTCCCTGTATCTTCATTCTGTTCATTGGACACTTTATTGCTGCTGCTATCTGCAGACAGACACACACTCTTCCTTGTATTGCACAAGCACAGTGAATGTACAAGACGTCTCCAAGGATGAAGATGGGAAAGACTGGGAGATGAATTGTCTTCAGGCGAGGGTGCTTTTGAGCAATGCTGCCTTCCTCTTATCTTGCTTTCTCTCTGGGTGTCTGTTTCCCATTTGGGTGCTGAGGGAGGGACTCGGTGGGGGTGGGTCCTGGGGGGTGGCAGGTGTCCTGGGCTGGTCCTCTGGCTCCTCCCTGAGGCTGCGCTGTTGTCCCCTGCAGGCCCTGAAAGCCAGAGTCAGCAGCCTCCCCAAGGTGAAGAAGTTCCTGCAGCCTGGCAGCCAGAGGAAGCCCCCTTTGGATGGGGAAAGTTTAGAAAAAGCCAGGAAGATTTTCAGGTTGAAGTAAAGCAGACATGGAGGCTGAACACATGCAGCACAAGTCTGAAATTGATCAGCGATGAAGCGCTTTCTAAATCCTTCATCCTGGCTGGTGTGAGAATAATAAACAGTTGCAAATTATCTAGGCCAGCTAAATAATAAAACTGCTGTGGACATAATTTAGTATGAGTTGTTCTTTTTATTATAATCTAATATGAAAATAAATAATCCAATATCCCCTGCACCTGTTCTTTTTTTGTGTGTGTGTGTGTTTCCTGTTTGGGATTTGCTGCCAAATTTAAATGCGTGATTCCACCCACTGAGGTCAATTCTGAGCCATAGGAGCCTGTAGGACAGAGTAAAACAGCTCCGACTAGACTGTAGATCGTCACTGGAACAGACAACCTCATCTCTTTCCCTTGAGGTTGCAGATGGGTTTGCACCACTGGCCTAGAGGCTAGCATGACGTAACCCACCATGCCGCCAGGAGTATATGGTTGAAGCCAGATTGGCAGGAACGGCTGAGCCGGAGGCTCATTACCCTACTCTTTCTGCAGACGTTTGAACGTATTAGCCACTCCCTGCTTCTGCGAGGGTTTAGGGCTTCGCAACCTGGGAGGGACTTCCTCGTGTTAGGTTTGGGGGCCAGCCGCCTCCTTTCACATTTGGTTTTACATGAGCCCCTCATTTTTTGTTCCGCTCTGGGTCTCCTAAGCCAGTGCCCCTGACAATCGGTCTCTTGGCAAAACCAAACCCGAACCCAAACCTCTTCTTAGGTCTCTCTGCCATACTCATGCTCTTCTTCCCCGCTTTTATCCAGTGCCTGGTGGGGTGTCGCTGTCACTTCCAAGTTGTGAGCAGTTCCCCTCTCTCCTCCTGTGGCCTTCCGTGGTACCCACACTCCCGTGTCCAGTCCACGGAAACCGCCTCCTCTCTCCTCTGTGAACTTTCCTTCCGAGGCACCCCCCCAGGAATCAGACTTTTATTTTGTCCTTTTTTACT